TCCTGGCTTCAGATTGGCGCAGCTTCAGCCATTGCGGCCATCTGGGGAGTGAACCAGCAGATAGAAGTCCTCTCTCTCTGTCTCTACCTCTCTCTCTGTAACTCTTTCAAATAAATAAAATAAATCTTAAAAACAAACAAACAAAGGGTAGAGCTGGGACATGAACTTGGGCACTCCAATAAAAAATGTAGGCATCCCAAGCAGCATTGTAATTGTTATGCCAAATGCCCACCCTTGATCCAGTGTTTGAATTTCAGGATCTTTGCCTGAGTCACTTATAAATATAGTAGTACTGGGGGCCAGTGCCATGGTTCACTTGGTTAATCCTCTGCCTGTGGCGCCGGCATCCCATATGGGCGCCAGGTTCTAGTCCCGGTTGTTCTTCTTCCAGTCCAGCTCTCTGCTGTGGCCCAGGAGGGCAGTGGAGGATGGCCCGAGTGCTTGGGCCCCTGCACCCACATGAGGGAAGCATCTAGCTCCTGGCTTCGGATCAGCGCAGCGGCCATTTGGGGGTGAACCAATGGAAGGAAGACCTTTCTCTCTGTCTCTCTCTCTTATATTTATTATATTATATAATATATAGTATTTATTATATTATATAATATATAGTATATTAGTATCTTAGTATATATATATATACTATATATATATATAGTATATATATATATATACTATAATATATATAGTATATTAGTACTATATATATATATATATATATATATATAGTACTAATGTGATGTTTCTATCCATGCATCCGTATTTATCTCTTGGCAGGCACAGTTTTCAAGAGCTCCATCTATGTATCCACACTTCCACTTATTGACCAATTTATCAATTATCAACTAAACAAGAGTGTTTAAGTCACTGTAATGTGTAATTAGTGCCTATCATTCATTTTCATATTCACATTGTTGCAAATCTGGCCAATGGGAGCCTGTTGACTCCTAGGTTCTTTGGAAATTTTTCCAAGTTCGTAAGAATCTCTTAAATTTCAGGTGAAACAAAATATTCTAGATTTCCTGCTATATTATATATATTCTCTTTTCCTGCTATCCTTTGGAAGTTGTAAATTGTCCAACGAACATTGGTTTCTTTTAGTAGGGGGTGGCATTCAGAAATTATTCCTAAATGGAATGGATTCCTATCCTAGAATGGGTTACTGGACAGCTCCTTTGAGGGGTCCTATCAATCCTTACATGAGCCACTTTCATTTAATCAGGTCTTGGACAAGAGTAGAACTCCATTTTTCAGATTTTTCTCAAATTGGCCCTTAGTGCTTACCAGTGGATATTAGTTTTGGGGGTTTTCTGATTGGTCCTTCTCTCACAAATTTTAAGAGGTCCTGAATCTCTTTCTTTCTCATCTGCTTGTATCTAGAGTTCACAGCTAAACTTTGAGACATCTGGTTTTGTTGTGTTATTCCATGATCTTTGGTTTTGTTATCTAGTGGCTTTGTTTTTACACGAGGAATCAGAGATACTGAGAAACTACATTATTGCCACCATGTTTTCTTACTATTTTAAATGTGGTTTTACTCATCTATTATATTTTTATTGTTGTGTACATAAAGAATTCTGATTATATATGTTCATTTTATATCAACCTTTTATTGTTTGAGGTTATTACTGAATGAGTTCATAACTGATTCACTTGAAAGTTTAAAGGAAGAATATAAACTTAAATAATAGTTTGAGTCTGAAGTACAGTTTTAAAAGTTTTCACTGACTCTTTTACTTATTTATTTCCATTATATTTGAAAGGCAAGAGAGAAAGAAAGACAGAGATCTTTCATTTGCTGGTTCACTCCCAAACATCTGTAACAACCAGGGCTGGGCCAGGGTCAAGGTAGGAGCCTGGAATCCAATCCAGGCCTCCCATATGAGTGGCAGGGATCCAAATGTTTAATCCATCAAGCGTTGCATCATAAGGTGCACATCAGCAAAGAGATAGATCAGAAGTGAAGAAGCCAGGACTTGAACCAGGCACTCTGATATGGCACACAGGAATCTAAAGTCGTGTCATCACTGCTACAGTAAATGTCCACCCCTACAAACAAAATGTTAGTAACTGTTATAAAAGCAACTGATGATCCCCCATGAACCAGTGGTTGGCCTAGCAGTTAGGAAGTTTACTTGAGAAGCCTGAATCCACACATATCAAAGTGTGTGGATTTAACTCCTGGCTTTGTTTCTGATTCTAGCTTCCTGCTAATGCATATCCCAGGAGGCAGGAGATGGTTGTTCAAGTGCCTGGGTTCCTGTCACCAACATGTAGTTCCAAGCTCCTGGTTTTGGCCTGGTCCAGACCTGGATGTTGCATTTGAGAAGAGAACCAGGAGTCAGCAATTTTTTTCTCTCCCTCTACATTTCAAATAAAATGAAAATAAATAAAATGTTTTAAAAATAGTATCATGTACCCTTTGACATGATGCACTAAGATCAGAATATCACCTATGTTGTATTTTTAACAGCTAAGCTTAACATGAAATAAATCAGAGAAATCTCAGTTCAATGACATCCTGCAAAACAACTGGTCTGGTCTTTTTAAAAAATGTCAATGTCAGAAAAGGTAAAATAGCCTGAGGACTTTAAAGTAGACATAAACAATAGCTGCAACATTTGATATTGTTTGAATCCTGATAAATAACTTTTAAAACCAGTTACAAATTACAACATTGTTGGGACAATTGAGGATTACATGAATATGCACCATATATTAGACAGTAATATCATATTCATATTAAATTTCTTAAGATAATTATGGCTTTTTTTTTTATTTAGTTGAGAGGTGGAGTTATAGACAATGAGAGAAAGAGACAGAAAGATCCTTTATCCATTGGTTCACTCCAAAATGGCTGCAAAAGCCAGAGCTGTGCCAATCCAAAGCCAGGAGCCAGGTGCTTCCTCCTGGTCTCCTACATGGGTGCAGGGGCCCAAGGACTTGGGCCATCTTCTACTGCTGTCCCAGGCCACAACAGAGAGCTGGATTGGAAGAGGAGCAGCCGGGACTAGAAAGGGTGCCGTGGCTTACTTGGTTAATCCTCCACCTGCAGTGCCGGCATCCCACATGGGCACCAAGTTCTAGTCCCTGTTGTTCCTCTTCCAGTCCAGCTCTCTGCTGTGGTCTGTGAAGGCAGTGGAGGATGGCCCAAGTGCTTGGGTCCCTGCATCCGCATGGGAGATAAGGAAGAAACACCTGGCTCCTGGCTTCAGATCGGCATAGTGCTGGCCATAGCGGCCATCTGGGGGGTGAACCAACAGAAGGAAGACCTTTCTCTCTGTCTCTCTCACTGTCTAACTCTGTCAAATAAATAAATAAATACTTTATCATCATAGATAACTGAATAAGTACTGAATTTATTAATATAAAACAACTGATTATTATGCTAATCTCCACAATACTATAATTAGATAGCTGGAATACCTAACTGAATTTAGACATGTGAGTGTTTATATTATGACCAATCTCAATCTTACAAAAAAGTTGTGAGGCCGGCGCCGCGGCTCACTATGCTAATCCTCCGCCTTGCCACGCCAGCACACTGGGTTCTAGTCCCGGTCGGGGCGCCGGATTCTTTCCTGGTTGCCCCTCTTCCAGGCCAGCTCTCTGCTGTGGCCAGGGAGTGCAGCAGAGGATGGCCCAAGTACTTGGGCCCTGCACCCCATGGGAGACCAGGAGAAGTACCTGGCTCCTGCCATCAGATCAGCGCAGTGTGCCGGCCGCAGCGCGCCAGCTGCGGTGGCCACTGGGGGGTGAACCAACGGCAAAAGAAAGACCTTTCTCTCTGTCTCTCTCTCTCTCTCTCACTGTCCACTCTGCCTGTCCAAAAAAAAAAAAAAAAAGTTGTGAAAGATACCTCTATTTAATACAGAATTTAAATCTTCAGCCAATTAAAAGTGTCATAAAATTTCATTTCAACCCACCATTTAATTCATATATTAATGTTTGCCTTCAATATCTGAACATAAGTAAAATTTCAAAAAGGTAAGTTACATCATCTTGTAATTATTACTTTTTATTTTCTTTTAATAAGGTATCAACCCTTCTAAAATTTGAGCTCTTAAAAATTTCTTCTCCCATTTGCATTTTCAATAACGCTAGGCCTAATGGTTAAGATATTAGTTAAGAAGCCTATGTCCCATATCAGAGTATCTGTGTTCAAAATCTGGCTCTGGATCTGGCTCTGAGCTCTTGACTCAAGCTTCCTCCCAATGAAGAACCAAGGAGGTAGCAGGGATGGCTCAAGTAGTTTGGTCCAGGCCATCCATGTAGGAGACCTGGTTTGATTTCCCAGCTCCTCAGCCCTAGCCACTGTGGACACCTTAGGAGTGAATCAGTGGAAGGGGAGCTCTCTCCACCTGTTTTTGTCTCTCAAATAAATAAATTAATAAAGTTTTTTCTCCGAAATACTAGTCAGTGTAAATAAGAACTTACTGGAATAGAGCAGTGATAATTTTTTATTAACTTTTTTTTAGAATATGTGGAAATGGCATTATTAGTAATAACATCAAAAAAAGAAAAAATGAATTTCTAATATATCCAGTTTAACTTTCAAAATATAACCTCCAAGTAAAAGTTAGAAACACATATGAGAAAGATGTATAGACTTTGGAGTCAGGAAAAGTTGCCAATCCTGGCTCTGTCATTTACACTCTTTGTGTCCAGTGTTTACCTGTCTTGTATTTTTCTGTAGGTGATCTACTCCATATCATCTTGATAAGATCTTCAACTTTAGTATCCCTACACCCCTGTACCAAAAGAGTAGTTGAACTGGTTGTATAATTACGATCCAATAGACAATGTTCACAGTCCCTAAACATCTTAAATTCCAATGGTTTTCACTTAGATGCTCCTTCAGTATGCCTATGACTACAACTTTGTTGTCAAAGATTATGAAATGCCTAAGATCATATGGCCCTCACAAGCTAGTATCACAATTCATCGATACTAAAAAGTAGACACAGACTCCTCCGTTGGATACAAAAGATTTTATTACTCACCATTAACAGCAGTAGCCAGAATGTTGGCATTTGCACTGGCTCCCCAATCCCCAACACTGTCAGGGTGACCTGAGGAGGGCCAAAAGACACTTAAATACAAAATGGGCTGCATTAACAGCAAAGGAACCTTGAACTCAAGGAACCCAACTCTGCACAACAAGCATGCCTAATTATTACAGGAGGTATCATCTCTGTGTCTTCCATGTCTGTGAGCAAATATGCCCTTTGCTCTGACTGATATCTCTTCCATTTTCCTAGGCTATATGCTATACAAACAACGTTGAAAACATAATCTAGAACAAAGGCATTCAGGACCTCTACTTAGAAGATATGGGTAAGTACAAAACAGCCATGGGAAACTATCTCCCTGTCTGGATTTTCTCAAAGCCTGAAATCTTCCCAGTGAAATACTAAATCCCAACAATCTATTTTTTTCTGTAATCTTGCAGTTGATTCATAATCTTACTGTACTTGTTTTTAAGACCTCACCAAGTTCTTTAGGCTTTCACTCCAATTTCTACCCTGGATCTATATGTACTTTCTCCATACTTCACTACACCTATTATTCAAGTGCAATCTCACTATTTATACACTTTTGAACAACTTATTTGCCTCCCTATCCTTATAACCAATTTGTCTACCCATACCTACTTCTCTCCTCCATTATCTAGGTGACAGTTCTTTATCTAAATGCTTTAAAAACATTATTTTTTTATTTGTTAGGCAATGACACAGAGATACACAGAGCGCCCATTTGCTGATTTACTCCCTAAATGCCCAAAACAGCTGGGACCAGAGATAAGGGCCAATATCACAGTCCAGATCTCCCACTTAGGTGGCAGAAACCAAAAGACATGAGTTATCCAATTGAGCTGCCTTCCAAGGTCTGGAATCAGGGGAGCCAGAGCTGGGACTCAAACCAGGCACTCTACTGTGGAATACAAAGATTATAACGCTAGGCTAAACGCACGTTCTCAGTCTACATGCTTCTTTTTTTCTTACTATGCCAAAATAAAGGAAGACACAGTATTCTATTCTTCATATATCAAATTTTGTAGAGTTAAGTACTCTCATTATCTACCGGCCTCATATCCACCTTATTTATTTACCAATATTAAATGCCTTCTTTCTCTATCACTAAACTGAAACTCCTTCTCCTAAATAACACTATTAGCATTAAATTCAAAGGATATATACCCATCTATTACTTCCACTGTAGACTCTTTTCCCTTCCCCATTGTTGAGGAAGTAAGAAGGAATCTTTTACTTAGAAAATGCCAACTAACAGATGTAGAAAGAATGATAGAAATTCACCTTTCGTTAACCACTATTTTAGGTTAGATTCATCAACAGTTGCCAAGACCTGTGTAGGAAAATTGAGAAGAAGAGGGGAGGGAAGAAGATGGGAGGGGGAGTCGAGGCTGACCTATACAACCAATAAAACTTCACAAAAAAAGACAGCATGCCATAAAAGTGGTTAAAATGCCAAATGCTACATATATTTTACCACAAAATAAAAATATTCATAAAAAAGCACTTAATCAAAAAATTGATACCATGTAGCTTTCTAAAAATATTGCGGATTTTGCCTTGCTGTCTCTGAAGTCATTTCCTTTGGAAAAAGTTAGGTGCCATGTCATATGACACTCAAGCAACACTAGGAATAGAAAAGCTTATACAATAAGAAACTCACCAACCACCAACTAACCACATGAGTATGTCACCTTGGAGATGCTTTAGTAGAGCTGAGCCAACATTTTGAACACAACCTGGTAAGAAACTTCTGAGCTAGAAATACTCATTAAAACCAAATTACTGACTTATAGAAACTATGAGACAATAAGTTGTCTATCAAAGTTTTAAGCCACTGAAGCTTAGAATAATTTGTTATGCTATAATAATAAACTTTTTCAGATAACTGCTGGCAATTTGTTACCAGGAATGGATTGATCCTACAACAAAACCTAAAAATGCAGGAATTGGTTGGAATCAGACATTGGGGAGAAGCTGACAGGACTTGTAGATGATTAATTTAAGCTTTATGAGCACTGCAGAAATGGTTATTAGAAACTTTATGGCCTTTAATAAGGATGCTATTGAGGACTTAAAAGGAAGTGAGAAAAAAATACAATTAAGCAATAGAGTGACTGTAAGTTTTAAAAGATCACTACCTTTGATCACCTGAAAAAATATACTTAATGCACTGTATAATTTTTCCAAAGAGATTCCAGATAAGTTGATGAAGATGTGGTACAAATTCTTCCTATTCTTTAGAATCATAAGTAGGAGTAGAGACAATGCTGTGGGATAGACAGGGAGTCAGTCAGCAAAGAAGCTGGGGGATTCCTCACAGTTTCTATCCCACAGACTTGTATCCTGAACTCCACTCCCTTGCATGCCAATGCAGCACATCCACTTTCCCATAATACACTCAAGTCTCCTTCATCATGAAGAAGGTGCCCTTACAAGCACATATATGCTATGAAAAACGTTTCCAAAGGACATCAAGAGCATTGAACCCAGCCCAAAATCTACTTTTTGTATATTCAATTAAGGTTCCACTCCTTTCAAAATTAACAGTAAAGGGAACGACCGAACTGGAGGGCATTTCTCTCCCCTCATGGGCATTTCTCACCTCATGATATAGATTCTCCTTCATAGCATACAACTGAACATGTACTCTCTAAATAAATAAATAATTCCTGCTCCTCCTACTTTTGCACTTTAAATTTGTCTCAGTTATGAATTCTTACCTCAGGTGGAGGTAAGAACCCGGAATAAAACAGCTAGTGGACCTTCATTCCACAAGAAAAGACTACTACCAAAAAACAACCAAAAATTCCAAGTCATAAGATTGGTGTCGAATAGCGGGTAAAGCCACCGCCTATGATGCTGGCATCCCATATGGCATCCCACCCAGTTGCTCCACTTCCAATCCAGCTCCTTGTTAAAGTGCAGGGGCCCAAGGATGTGGACCATCCTCCACTGCTTTCCCAGGCCATAGCATAGAGCTGGATTAGAAGTGGAACAGCCAAGACTGGAACCGGAGCCCACATGGGATGCTAGCACTGCAGGCAGTGGCTTTACCCGCTACGCCACAGCACCGGCCCCAAATAAATGTATCTTTTAAAAGGGGTGGGGGGTGTTCCATTCCTCTTTTAATAAATGAGTAAATAACTAAACAAATAAAATTCCAAGTCTCCCTAGACAGCAAGCAATCCTGAAACTAAAGAGCTCCCAGGGTGGGCATTGTGGCACAGCAGCTTAAGCGGCTACTTGGGATACCTGTATGCCACACTGGAGTGCTTGGCTTGAGTCTCACTTACAGGGGGGCCGGCGCTGTGGCGCAGCAAGTTAACCCCCTGGCCTGAAGCACCGGCATCCTATATGGGCACCAGTTCGAGACCCGGTTGCTCCACTTCCGATCCAGCTCTCTGCTGTGGCCTGGGAAAGCAGTAGAGGTGGGCACCTGCACCCATGTGGAAGACCCAGAAGAAGCTCCTGGCGCCTGGCTTCAGATCAGTGCAGCTCTGGCTGTTGCTGCCAAATGGGGAGTGAACCATCGGATGGAAAACTTCTCTCTCTCTGCCTTTCCTGTCTCTCTCTCTCTCTCTGCCTTTCCTCTCTCTTTTCCTCTCTCTGTGTAATTCTGACTTTCAAATAAATAAATCTTTAAAAAAAAAAAAAAAAGGTCTCACTTACTGGGGCCGGGGCTGTGGCACAGAGGGTTAACACCCTAGCCTGAAGCGCCAGCATACCATATGGATGCCGGTTCAAGTCCCAGCTGCTCCACTTCCCATCCAGCTCTCTGCTATAGCCTGGGAAAGCAGTAGAAGATGGCCCAAGTCCTTGGGCCCCTGCACCCGCGTGGGAGATCAGGAAGAAGCTCCTGGCTTTGGATCAGCGCAGCTCCGGCTGTTGTGGCCAATTGCAGAGTGAATCAATGGATGGAGGACCTCTCTCTCGGTGCCTCTCCTCTCTGTGTGACTCTGACTTTCAAATGAATAAATAAATCTTAAAAAAAAAAAAAAAAGTCTCACTCCACTTCTGATCCAGTTTCTTGCTAATGTGTCTCTGGAGGCAGCAGTGATGTCCCCAAGTACTTGGGTTCCTGCCATCCATAAAGAAAATCCAGACAGAGTTCCTGGCTCCTGCCCTCAGCAAGGCCCATCTGTAGCTGTTGTAGGCACTTGGGAAGTAAACCTGCAGATGGAAGTTCACTCTATCTCCCTCTCTCTCTCACTGACTCACTGTCACTCTTTCAAAAAAAAAAATAAATAACAGAATGGTTCCCTAAGAGGAAAAAAACAAAAGACCATGTCAGAAGACCATGAAGATTGACTTTTATTTATCTGACAGGCAGAGTGACAGGGGGAGGGGGAGAGAAAGATATTAATCAATCTTCTATCTACCAGTTCACTCCCCAAATGACAGCAACAGCTGGGACTGAGCCAGGCTAAAGCCAGCAGCCGATAACTCTATCTAGGTCTCACATGTGGATGCCAAGAAACCAACTATTTATGCCATTTACTGCTATTTTGGAAGCAAATTAGAATTGGAATTGGAACAGTCAGAACTTGAACTAGCTCTCCAATATGGGATGGCAGCATTGCGAGCAACACTTTAATCCATTATGCCATAATGCCAGCCCTTATATTAAGATTTAAACAAGCTTATGGGTATAAAATTCATTAGTAAGACTTCAAAAAGACACAAGGTGCTGCCTCAGAGAACCTAAAGCAGTAAGGTTTTCAGAGAAGTCAACATCGTAGAAGACAAAGAATGAAAAAGAATCAAGATGGAAATACTAAATAGAACAACAACTAGATATAATCAGATCTTAAATTAGACCCTAAACCACAAAAAAAAGTTTCCCCATTTTCTATGGAAAAAAAAGGAATGAATAAAATTTAATATGATCAGGTTAGATAATAGACTATAATAGTATTATTTATGTTGATGGCTGTAATGTAATTGTGCAGAAAATTTCCCTTTTCATTAAAACTACACACTAAAATACCTCAGCTAAAGGGGGACTATATATTTGCATTTTATTCTCTAGTGGTGCT